TGATACTTATGTGCTTTTCACAGCACTGTTTCCTCTACCTTTTGTAATAGCTTCATGAGTCTACCAGCCTTTCATTCATTCATTTCATTAACAAAAAGACCACAAGTCTATATTACTTCTCTTTTTTCTCCTGTACATAACAATATATTTTATGCTAGGAGCACTCTGATTTAACATTAGAAACTTATGAAATGTAGTCAAAAAGCAGGTTGAGAAGAACCCTTAATTTGCTGGGTCCCTTCTTCAGTCACCTTATAAAAGCTGGTTTTGTTTTTTGTTTTTTTTTGGTTTTGCTTTAAAGAGAAGGGTGCATAAATGTATGAAGGTACTGGCAGATTTCACAAGGTGCCTTACTGACTGCATCACAGCTTCCTTAGAGCCACCAGGAAACTTTGAGCTATGATGTGCAAGGGCTGTGTGTTCGGAGGGCAGAACTGGTTTTGTGGACCCTGGGACATGGCTTCTTCGCCCTTCCCAGGAGGGTCCCACCTGAGGACAATCGCCAGTAAATAGCCAGCCATGCCAAGGGCCTGTTTACAGAAACGCAGCTGCTTACTTTTGTGACCAGCAAAACGCCAAGACCCAGCGGCACAGCCACCGTCCCCACGTGGTGATGGCAGATGTGCACCCACGTGAAGCACATCGCGTTCCTCCCAGCAAAGGGCTGGCCCTTGCGTGACACCAGTGGGACCTCAGCACCCAGAGCAGCAGGAGGAAAACACGGAGTTTAACTGCAGCACTGCTCTCCGTCTCTGTAGCAATTAGATATAAACTAAAAATGAGTAGACTTCAGAGATTAGCCATAGCAGTGTTACACACTCGGCTTTACTCGCACAGAAGGCATGCCTCCTCCTTGCCTGACTTCATGGTTTGCACATAACTAGCTCGTGCCCAGGCCATGGGGAGCTGTGCAGAGGGTCCTGAGACACTGCCCTGCAGCCACCGAGCCTCCCCCAGGGGCTGCCCGGGCTCCAGGCAGCCGCAGAGCAGAGCACGTCTGAACAGAAATGAAAGTGCAGGCTTATCTTCCAAGGAGCTATCAGCTTCTGGCTAAAACCAGAAGGCAGAATCAAATCCCTTCACGGACTTCAGAGAGATGCAAGGAATCTGGAAATCTTATTCTTGGAGACATTTTCTTGCCTTCATGTTTATGATGGGCCTTGTTACCAGATATTTGTGCTTGCTGCTGTCATTTCACGGCAAACTCTTTAAAAGACAGGCTGGAAAGGAAAGCGAGAGAAGCAGATAATGGGATACATCGTGGATGTTTTTCTAACCTCTAAAGGTTCAAAGCCACTCTGACTCAGAGGAGATATTTCTGCCTAACATTACCTGAACCAGTTTATTTCCTCCTACTTCATTTTAGGGTTCTCCTTCATTTCCCCACTGACCAGTTCAGTTCAAATTTATTTCTACTGGAACCATAAGGAAAAGCCAAAACACTCATGGAGGAACAAGTCCCTTCTTTTCTATTGCTGGGCACATGCACATTGTGAATCCAGAGCTGGATTATTGCATCTAGCAGGGAGGTTTCTGTAGCAATCATGCATTTAATTTTGATCGTGTTCTATAATCCTGTTTCTAAACTAATTTATGCTGAAAATATTTATCGTAAACAACTACAAAATGCTACATATTATTGCTATTTCCAGATTATAACTGAACTATTTACACATCCCCCAAAAAATGATGAAAGTTTTTTGAATACATCTGAGGGACCACTTTACAAGTAGCTGCACAAAATCTCTGTGACAGTGTCCAAATGTTTGATACACAGAACAGAATGAGAGGTCGGTAGCGCTAACACAGGCTACAGGAAAGTGAGGCCAGGGCTCCTCCCTGCTCTCCTGGCCCCTTCCCAGGCCAGACCCGTGCCCACCCACCCCACAGCAGGTGACATTTCCTGGCTGGGGGGACAGGAGCCACCGGCACGCTGCTGCTCAGGGAATCCTCTGGGGTGTCAAAAGCCTTCAGGCTCCCAGTCCATGGGGGAGGGCAGACATGAACCTCTCCAATTTCCTGCCCCAAAGGCTAGGCAAGAAACCTCTCAGACTAAAAAAAGCACCTCAGCCTTGTGAATATTTCTGTGTGCAACAAAATTCTATTTTTTTGATGTTGCTCACGTCCCCAGCAGTAGTTATTGCACTGAAGTGTCACGAAGGGATACTGAATACTAATAGCAAGCAACTGTTCAGGCTAGTAACGTCACCTTTTTTTTTTTTTTTTGATACCATTTATACAACATCTAGGCCCAGAGAAGAGGGAGCAAATTATAAAAAGTGAAAAAAGAAACCTCAGGGTTTCTTTAGACTGGTGATCAGCCAGCCAGCTGTACCAACCAGGCAGTGAAATTCTCCATGACTGCCATGAGCACCAGGCACCAGCCCCAGCAGAGCGTGTCCTCACCAGCTGCAGAAAGCGCAGCGCTGTGCCAGCCGCTCTCCCCCTGTATCACACCACCAAACACGCACTGCAGTTGCACGGAGCTGCAAACCCAGGCTGTAGGATCTCATCCTGTGCTGGGAACCTGGGCACTGCTCCCCATGCCCAGCTCAGCCCACGCTTCCCTGCAGCAGCTCCAGGCCCGGCACTGCTTCCCCCAGGGGCAGAGGAACCACGGCCGAGGCGTCTCTGCTGGCTGCTCCTCGGAGAGGAAAGCCAAATCGCACCCCAAAGATTCAGCTGGTGGAAGCCAGCCCTGGGAGCCCACCACCCGCAGGGAAGCAGTAGGAATCTGCCCCATCTTCTATCCAGAGCTGTCTTCCTGCCACAAGACACCCCTCATCATCCCATGAGGTTTTGGCTGCCTGACCTGCTCTTACTTTGCCAGAGTTTCTGCATTTTAAGTTAAAGGAAACAATTCCTGTTTCAGACATATGGTATTTTTGAATATTTTGGACTGATCTTAGGCTGTGGCATCAGGGAGCCAGCCTAATGTTTTATCTATGGAACGATTAGGGTATGAAAGCACACGCTGCACAAAGGAGATGTGCTCTTGTCTCATCTCTCTCTCTTTTTTTTTTTTTTTTTTTTTTTTTTTTTTTTTAATTTTCAATTCAGAAAAGGCTTTGAAAAAGAACTCCTGGTGAAGCAAAACACCCAAGGGGCATGCAAATCTGAACTGAGATACAGCTGCTGCTGGATTTCACTCCACAGCTATCCCAGTTCTAATTTATTACAAAACTAGATGTATAAAGATTATGACAGAGAAGGCACTGCAGATAAAGATTTAAAATTCACTTGCTAAATACATGTTTAGCTATAGTGAAAATGTGATTTAGTCCTGCCAGGGTAGTTACGGTCTTGAACTAACATTGACTACTAATTAGAAAAGCACTGCAGGACATTATGATAATGAGTATTTTTCCAAATCTGAGGTATTCTGGATTGTTTCTATTAGGAAAAAAAATAAAAATAAAAATGAGGGCATCAAACGAGTCTTTGAAAACATCCCTAAACAAACTGCATTCCACCAAAGAATAAAAATAATTAAATAAATAAAATAATGAATAAATAAGAGCATTTGCCTTCAATTCCCCCTCACTCCTAGCTAGCCAGTTTCTAGATTTCCCTCCAAACCTTTTCACTCACTGCTGCTGCCCCCGGTGCTTGCTCCCAGCTCACCCCATGGCGCTGCCCCATGCCCCCAAGCACCCCGGGGCCCAGCGGGGCACCCCTAGTCGCCCCCCATGCTCCAAGCCCTGCAGTGCCCCTAACTCTCATCTCTCCCACCCCTGTCTGCCATGCAGCTCCTCGGGGAGCTGGTAGGGGATCGCGCAGCCCCTGCCCCGAGCAGCCGGCGGGCAGCTCCCAGCCACGTACAGCCCAGACAAGTGAGCGGGGCCGGGGGCTCTGCCTCGCCTCCTCCTGCTATCTCCACAGCTCCAATTTGCAAACACTTCCCACAGACTGCATTTAAAATGTATGAAATGCCACTGCTCACGCATTTAACAATCTCAGAGTGACTTGGTGACAGATGGGATGCGTAAGACTGAATTAGATGTGTTGACCAAAAGCATTAATCGCTTTTTCCTACTAATAAATAGGGCCCGTATTCACATGTGGAAGTTATTTAAAGCTCATAGATTTCCAGCAGCATTTGCTAAGCCTGGTCTAACAATTTTCTGTGAGCAAAATATTTACGCTCCAGACTCTGTTTTGATTAGAGGCGGCGCTGCTGTTACAAAGCAGGCAGCCACGCCACTAGGCCGAGGCTCCGACATGGCGGCCCCACGCCTGGTCGGAGGGGAAGGCCCACGGCCCTCAGCGAGCACATGGCTGTAGAACAAATATTTGCGGAGCTACAGAGCTGCCTCCTTTGTCATGGAAACTGTCCTGTGAATGCAGCCTGGTTTGCCTGGGCAACGAAAATAGAAGTGGTTGGCAGACCTTCCCACGTGCGACAGAAAGCTGCCACAGGCGCGACAGACAATATGGTCCCGCCTCAGCTGCGTCTGGCACGAGCCAGGAAAACACGCTGCAGCCCACGGGCAGAACGGCACCTCTCCCTCGCCGAAATGTCTGCGCCCACTTCCTCACCACAGCCCCAGGCCCTCGCAGCCAGGGGTTGCACTCACGCTTCTGGGAGGCTGGGCAGCAAAAGCTTGTGGATGGAGAGGATGTGCAGAGAGCACGACTGCCTCCTGTTCCCAGACTGTTCCTCGCTCTGTATGAATAAAGGTACATGCAGAAGGCTGGCAATCAGCTTAGCAGGTGCCCTCGGCGCTCTGTGCACGTTTGGGCTAGTGGCTGTGCAGCACAGCAGGAGGGGGCTGCATGTGGGGGCACTGCCTGCTGCCAACATCGCCCCTCCGGCCCCATCAGCTCCCAGAGCAGAGCTCTCTCACTCCCCTCGAGCAGTTATTAGCAGCACACAGAGTTCATTTGTCTTCCGTGGTAGCGTTTGATAAGTACTTAATTGCACACAACTTTGGCAGGGCAGCATTTAGCATCGCGCTGCACTGCACAGCTCTGTGCAATCCATTGCCCGTGGTCATCCATTTTCAAGCTACGAAAAAATCATCTCATCTTGACTTATTTCATACTATTTCACTAACAATGAGAAGTTATTACTGAAATAAAGCATTAACATTAAACACTTGCTGGCAGTATCTCTCCCCATTGTGTCCGTTTTCCATTCTTAGTTGAGTGAAAACTATTCAAGTTGCTGTTCTTCAGCTCAGAAATGGAATTACTTTAATAAAACCCATAAGTTGGTGATTACGTCACTTGAAGGGGAAGGAGGCACATCCTTCCTGAAGCTACAGAGAAGTTCAGTGTTCTTTTTCCACCCATAAATCATGGCCATATCTCTAACAGTGAAGCATGGGCAGCTCCCCATTCTGCTTAGCACACTCGTGTGCGATGGTCAGGAAGCGGTTCTGCCTTCAGGAGCATCCACCTCGCCCATGGCACTGCAGCTCACCAGCACCAGTGCCACAGGGACACCAGTGGCAGCAACAGTGACAGGGGCTCATGTCCCCAGCCCAGCACAAGGAGAGCAGCAGCAGCGGGCAATGGCGCTCCCAAAAGGTTTCAGCATAGCCCCTCTGGATGCACAAATTTGTCTGCAGGCTTCAAGCAGCAACTGCTTCCAAATGTGTCTGGGTGACAAGCTTGAACAGGAGCATGGTGCCTTTGCAGGGCCCTGCTTCTGCCTGAGTGCACATATTTCCCCTGCTGAGAGCAAGAAACAGGGGAAACAACAGCAGGCAGAAACACTGTCTACAAGACCCCAGAGGCAGCTTTGTATTTGCATGCTTAATGCCTCCAGGGAGCAGAAAACTCCATTTTCCTGAAAGCCATCATTTCCTAGAAGTACAGTGGATGCCACAGGGGCTGCCTGGTGGCTGGGCACAGCAGTGGCACATCCTGCATGGGGCAGGGCTGTCACCGGCTGCCATCGCCACTGCAGCACCCAGCCCCGGGGCAGCCCGCAACCCCGCCGGGAGCTCACAGGGTCAGCATTTGGAAACTGTCCTCCTTGTCAATCAATCTCTTGATTTCAGATTTAAAACTGCAATTGTTTGCTTTTTAAGTCAGAGTCTCCTGACTGCTCTGACAGGTTTTATCCTCCCCTGGGAACTCGCTCTGTGATCAAGCGAGTCAAATCAGTCCCTGCATCACACTGGGAGCAGAAGCCTGGGAGGGACACATGCACCGTGCACATCACATTGCCTCTTGCGTACACGAGTGGCCGGCAGCCTGAACGAGGCTGTGAGCACAGCTGTGCCCGGCAGGATGAGCCCGAGCAGCCATCTCTCACTACTCAGATCATCACAATGTGCAGGGAGAGCACACAGACATGGTGTGAAACATCCTCGAGATTAAACAAAATCTCAGAAGAGTGCAGGCGCTTTCACTGGCTTCTTGATATTAAAATGGCCCTGTGTAGCACCCCACAGACATCAGCTGGTCCCAGTAGGATCTGCCACAGAGTCCTTGAAGATAAAACTGTTAGCACAAATCTTGCAGTCACAGCTTTGGGGATTTTTGTTGGGTTGCTTTTTTTCAATCAAAACTAAGGCAACCACTTTGAAAACTGATTTCCAGAAATGATGCAGCTTTTTGTACAGATGCCCAAAGAACTAAACCTCAAAGCATATGGTCTGAGTGAAAAACTTCACATATCAAAACTTCAAACCCCAAAACATGTCCTTTGTTTTTGCTTAGTGTCACAAAGTCCAAAGACATCTTCAGTCTTTGGTGGCAGAACCATTCAGCCAGAGCAGCACTGCTGAGCTTCAACATGTTCTGTGTTAGACTCACCACTGAGATAACACCCAATGGCTGGAAAAATGACCAGAGCACATCTAGACAAATGGGGAAATAATTTCAGTTGGATTTCAATTAAATATAAATTGCAGGCACATTCATTATTTTTGTCTCATTCTTACCCAGTTAAAGTATAATTTCTTCCTGGTCTGGGAGGCTGTAATCCTGAAGAGAGGTGAAAGATTTCCTACTGCTGGCCTGGTCACAAAGTGCAGCACCCTGGCTGCCAAAGCATGTCCAGTTAGGTAAAGGGTTGTGCTGGAACAAGGTCAGGATTTCCCTCTTTAAACTTCAATAGCAAAAGAAATATAAATGGATTTTCAGCTTGGTGAGCTCCAGAAGAGGTGTCAGCATGGGAAAAAAAAATAAAAGCACTTATACTTGAAAACAAATAGAGGGGCTGGATTCCAAACCGCAGTAGAGGGGTCCATGGAAATTTCCACATCCCATGCTCTGTCCCCCCAGCCCCAGTGACTGTGACCCCACGTGCACGGCAGGAGCTGGGGCCCCAGCCACGTCCCACCAGTGAGCCTGACCCAGGCACGTGCATGCCCCACACCACCCACGGCACAGCTGGGCTTGTGTTTCCTCCTGTAAGGTTAACATTTTGTGCTGGGACCTTCTCTCACCAAGCTCCTTGTGAAGCTGAAGAGATCAAACCCTACAGCTCATCACAAAGCGCTCCTTGGGCCGCAGTGCCTTGCTAACACAGCGCTTCTGTGGGAACAGGGAGAGAGGTGAGAGAAGGTAAGACTTGCTTATGAAGCAGGTAAGGGTCACCTGGAAACAGTCTTTTGTTTAATATCACTGAAGACATCAAAATCCTACTTATGTTTTCCCATTGCTAAGCTGCTCACATACAAATCTGGAGTCTGACCACCACAGCGCAGTGCTGCATGCATACTGCCGCTGTGCAGGACAGTTGGGGTTTCCTTTCATAACTTTACTGTAAGACAGGGGACTTAGGCTTCTTGGAAAGCATTAACAAGAAGCAAATTTGAAACACCTGGGCAAAGAAAATAAAAGGATTTAGGGATGGGTTAATATCAAAACATGGAAGGCAAGTCCCCTGACACCAAGGAGGAAAAAAAAAAAAAGTATTTATCTTCTGCACAGTCAGTGGGACTGGCCATCAAAACAAACGTTTTGCCCATCTTGGTCTGCACAGAAGCTTTTTAGAAAACACTTGAAGTATTCTAGCAACATCTAACTTGCACCCTGATGCCAATGCAACCACTATACAGATTCACGTACCATCACATTCCTGATCAGTCTTCTCCTGGCTGGTTCCCTGCTGGAGACCGAATCATCTTTTCCAGAACAAACTGGGTTTCTGAACTTCCCATCACACTGTTTACACTTTCAAAGAGATTGAAAAAGCCTTCAAACTGCTAAACATGTAAATAAAAACCCTCGTGCTTAAAATCTTCACCTTGCTACTCGTGGATACAAATCAGCTCTAATATATTTCTAATATAGCTTTCAGAAATTTATGTCGATTTTTACAATCTCTGGCCTTCATTATTTTTTTTTCTTTTTGGGAAAAAAAAATATTTAATCTTTTATTTTATGTGACTCCTACAACAGTATTTGCTGTTGTCTTTTGCAAGCGTGGCTGTTAGAATTTTCATCTGATGGTGATAGGGAGGAGAAAGCAACATGCTTAAACCAAAGGTATATTGTAGTGCAGGTGGGAAGGGACCTCTGGAGGTCTGAGGTCCACCTAGGCCAACCCTGCCACAAACAGGGCTGACTCCAGCATGCCCTGACCCCAGCCAGGCTGCCAGGAGAGCAGATGCCCCTCTCAGAGGGGCAGGAGGAGTGCATCCCCCTCCCCTCCTGTCTGATGAACGCGTTGGCCCTGTGCTTCAGGTAAGGAAACCTCACTCCAGCCTACCACCAGGCCAGAGCCACCCAAGCAAGAGCTGTGGGGTCAGAGCAGGGCCATCCCTTACGAGGAGGTGCAGAAACATGCAGAGGGTGCTGCGACAAGCAGCAGGGACCTGCCAGGACTGCTACCTCTTCAATGCAGAACTCAGCCCGAGGCTCCCTGGACACGCGGGTACATCTTCGGAGGGGATGCCCCTCAGACAGCTCCATGGTGGCTTTGCGGTTTCATGTAAAAAACGTTTACAAGACACTGTAGTCAATAATTAAAGCTTTTGCACAACTCAGAGCTGTCTCTACAGCACTCCACACGCACGCTCTGACATAAGGTGGGGATGTACAACCTGCTGCCCCGGCCCTTCCCCAGCCCCTCCTTAGCCTCCATCCCCTGGACCTGCAGATGCCCAGAACTGATTAGAAGCAAGCTGACAGTAGCAAGAAGTTCCACACACCAATCAAATTTCTGGTCTATCTGGAGAAGCACGTTCGTCTCAGGGCAGCAAATGGGAAATACTGCACCTTCGGGAAGCAGCAAAAGGTGTGTTCAGATGGACTCGTTACCAATGATACACGGAGAATTCTCTCTCTACGTGGAAGCACATGCATATCTGTCCACAATTATAAGGACTGAAATATAGCTGCAATCTATAGCCATAAGGTGAGATTTCCATCTTTATATGACATGAAAAATGTGCCAGACACAGGTTTGCCCATAAACAAAATTGCTTTTTTCAGCTCTCCCTTTAATGTGAAATATCAATCATTTTGTGGCTTTTATTACACAGAATTTAGCTTTTGTTTTTGACAGATGGCTCGCATTCAGTCTGAAGTACAACTGTATATCATCCCCATTATATACACATCTGAATTGCAGGACACATATCAAAAAGACAGTAATAAATGGCAGCGAACACCTGGTGGAGCACGACTGTCCAGAGAGAGCCCACCCGAGTGCGTGGCTGTAAGAGGGAGAAGTGTCAGCCTGCAGCAACGCACTGTGCTGGGTGCCTGTGCAGCAGTGCTCGCTGCTCGGCTGCTGGCTGCTCTCCGAGCCCAGCACACCGCCACACAGGTCACAAATATTGGGCAGGTCACGCAGGCTTAAAGCATCACGGATCCTCTCCAGCCTTTGCCATTTGTGCCGCAGCTCCCCACACACCTCCGTGCCCCCAGGAGGCACCGGCCCCGTCCCACAGCCCCTGCGCACCTTGCACCAGCCCTCCCCGTGGTTCTGCATTTAGTCATTTGAGACAATTTGCTGCAGCAGCTGTCTGTAATCTGCCGTGCTTCTGAAACCAGGAAGAAGTTATTTCATGAAAAGATACGCCTTAATCAGATTTTCCATCCCATTTAATTTGTCAGTTGCTCTTCCCTTCTTTCACCGCCCACCATGGACATCAATGCTGAGCTGCCTGGGGTGTGCCTTCCTCCGCAGCAACCCCAGGTGGTGCTTCCAACACCTGCTGGTGCTCCTCTGTACCCTTTATCCCACCTCAGAGCTTCCCCAGGCCCTGCCAAGGCAGGCCATGTAGGTCCCATTTTGCCATCTGCAGATGTGCCTGGGTCAGTCCCTGCGGGCAATACAAGCCCACAAGCAGATCTGCCCTTGTCCATCAACTCTCAGGCCACAGAGATGTCACATCACTTCCAGGCATGCTGGAATAGCGACCAACCTCTGTTTGGAAGGTTTGCTATTGCCCTACCCCAACAGGGAGGGAATGCTGTCATGGAGCAGCCACTGGAGGAGCACCACAGGGAGCGGGCAGAGTCCTCGCGGGTACCCGCAGCCCTCGGCTCTGTGCATGGGGCCCACAGAAATCACAGGCCCAAGGTGCACTGTCACCACGACAGGCAAAATAAGGAATGTAAATTCACCAAGCTTAGTCAAAAAAATCACCGATTTAAGAGGAGAAAGAGAAATCAGAGATGCGACTGCCAGACCTACTCCTCTCACGCTCACTCAGTAACGTGCGCCCAGGATCCTTCCTCGTGCGTTGCAATACTCCAAACCTTCCTGCCCCGTTCTGCTGCTGCAGTGAGACAATCAGCTCTCATCGGGCCAGAGCAATCTGCATAATCAGCCACAGAATTTGCAATTTTCCATTCACCTGCACAGAATAGTAAGGACATCTAGGGCTATTTTTAACATACAACACGTAGCCGACAACAAACCGGCATTTAAAACCGTCACATTCCTCATGCAACCTGAGGCAGCCGTGGTGGGGAAGGTAAGCATTGGAACATAAATGACTACGACAAATCCATCAAGAATGATTCATCCCCTTTTCTATTTAGAAAGTTTTATTTCTCTACAATAAAATAAAACAGCATCCGTGTCACATGTTACAAGCTGCTTGTCTTTTTGTACTAACACAGCCATATGTGCAGGCCCTTTTCACATTTTTAACTTGCCTGCATTTTGCTATTAGCAGGACAGAATGACACCACGTACAGCTAGGTAGGTCTGTTAGATTTCAGTAAGCATTTCCCACATGAACAGACCACGGGTATCCTCCTGAGCACGTGAAAGACGCTCCCAGCAGAGATGGCTATTTGGGATGCCCACGGGAGAGCCACCCCACGAAGGGTTCTGTAACCCGGCCAAAATGAGACAGAAGTCTCCGTAATTTACAACTTGCTAAGAAAAATGAAGGATTTCAAGTCCATGTGAGAAAAAAAAAATAAGGAAAAGGAAAATTAGGCTTACTGGCACGACCTGTGGGACGTGAGAAATTCTCTCCCATGAAGTAACCCAAGGGCCCGTATCAGAGCCAGTGCCTGAACCCAGTCCTGTGCAGCCTCACCCCATCGAGTTCAACTGGAGATTTAGCATCTGGCTGAAGAGCTTTTCCCAGACCCTGTTATACTAACAGGAATGCTACTTTAAACCACTTCCTTTAGCTGTTTGGCCTTTATTCTTAAACATTTTTTTCATCCTCGAAGATGAAGAAGAATTCTCTGGAAAAATAGAGTTGTGAAGGAAAAGCCACACTTAGCACGTGTACGGGAACACCAGAGGGCAGCGGGTGACACTGACCACACAACTGCCTCAGAGGACAGGGCATGTATTTTAATGTATAAATGCATTACAAATGATTACATCCAAAACCCAAGGTTTCATCCAAGGTTTCCTCCAGACAGGAAAGCTGCACTTTCTGGAGGAGCTCCGATGCACCTTCCCAGCCCACCAGCACCAGCCTTGGCCAGCGGGACTTTCAGCAGCCCGTGATTTGGGGTGAGCCAGGCCAGCCATCTGACAGACACACAATATATCACCCTGCCCGAAGCTCTCAGGGACACCAGATTTATCAAAATAACACCAGTGATCAACAGCTTTTCTCTAATTCACTTCATTAGAAGAAAGTCACTACAAATCCACTTAGTGCTGCTGCAGCTTTCTAGCACAGGCTTAGTGTGCATGCAAGGGATATTTATTTCCCCCCAAATAATTTACGTTATTCTCTAAACTCTTTAATTTATTTAGCAATTGTCTGAAATATAATGCAGACAGTAATTTCCAGACTGTTCCATTCTTCATTGTCTGAATGCACACACTGGGGTTGCTCCATCTTTGCCCTTTGGCACATTCACAGGTTTTCATAAAAAGGGGAAATTTTAACAGTACCCTAAAAGTAATTTTCTGGCACTGTTGCTTCCTTTTCCATAGCCTTACCACTTACACTAAAAATAAGGACCCCAGATTTTAGCACATGCATTGTAGCTATTTGCTTAAACCATGGAAAAGTTCATTAATTCCTGGAAATCGACCCACAATGTGCTTTTTGATGCCTTGTTGAGCTGGGCGAAGAGGTCTGGGTGCTTGGGTACCACTTTGGCACTGCCCATCTCAAGTAAACTCAGACAGAGCCAGCAGTGCCGCAGGACCACCAGCAGCAGGTCACAGCCAGGTGCCTCTGCAGGGAGCCGCCTCCTGCCAGCAGCAGCCCAGGGCTGCTCCTGGATGAAGCCCCAGGGCAGCAGCAGGCACAGTTCTTCAGTCTGATTTAAGGTTAAATGGGATAAGCCCAGGGAGCCCTGCAAAGGGAAGTGCAGATCCGCGTTTCTGCCTCTAAGCCCCAATTTTGAGAAAACCCTGCGTGCAGAAGTGGAATTTGTGCTGCACTTGTGATGTCTCAGCTCCTGCCACGCAGAGCTTTTATCCTACCAGAGGGCTCTGCCATCACCCAGGACAGCTCTTAAAGCATCCTCCAGCACCACCTCCCCCTGCGTCTGCCTCGAGTGGGAGCAGGATGGGTGCCCCCTGCCACCCAGGTGGGCACAGCAGGACCCCAGTACCACATCCCCACCTCCCCTCCCCAGCTCCCTCCTGCCGGATCCCTCGGCACAAGCAGTGACAAGCACACAGCTCGCTCTGTGGGGTCCTGCCAGGTGTGAGGGGCCTCTGCTCCAGCATCCCAATCAAAACTCTCAGAAAGAACAAAACCCTCCCCAGGTGCTTTGTCGTTTGTCTGTGGGGTTTGTTTTGTTAAAGGAGCCCCAGACTTCTGGTCTGATGGAGGATTCAGATTTCATGATTCAGAGCAGTTTTACAGACAAATGTGTTTCTGAATCCTTAAGGAGAAAAAAAAAAAATAGAGAACCCTGGAATGGCTCTTCCCCTTCACAGGGCAGTATTTAATGACTAATTAAATTAATTACATTAAAACTTCAGCAACTTCCACAGGTACCAATGCCTCCATGCTGGGCAGACAGCCTGAGCTCACCCCAAGCACCTTTGGTGACACCAGCACCTTAAAAAATATACAAAATAAAAAAAAATAAAATAAAAATAATCAAAAATGTCCTCTTAAAGGAGAGCCCTGTTTGAGCTGCTCCATGTCCCAGGGGTGGCAGAAGTTTGAAGTGGGGAGGAGGGGGGGCCTGGCCCCACGTTTGAACTGCCCATGATAAATTATTCACTAGGTTGAGCAGACTTGCCTGTGTGTGCGCATTATTTCACATATACAAAGCAGGAGACACTCCAAAACCTCACTGCTGACACACTGAAGTGTCCCGCTAGTTCAGGCTAGCCGAGCGGCTGGCCCAGGTTAAAGCCCTACATCCCCACCAGGTTCTGCCAGGGCTGTGCTCAGCGAGGAGCTGCCCTGCCTCGCTGCCAGAAAGCCGAGGGATGCCAACCTGTCTGCTCCTCGACAGCTGACGAGACAGGCTTCAAAACACTTAAAGTTCTGCAGAGAGGAGCAAGGCAACGACCGTGCACTTGTCTGCATTAATAAGGGCTTCCTTCCTGGTGGATTTGGAGTGCTGTGGGTTTATTATTACATAGCACAGGATTATTACAGAGAAACAGATGTCAGCGTGGCACTGCTTGCCTGAACGTGTCTTTGTTCATCTGTGTGTGTAGGAGGGTGCAGGAGCAGCCTGAGCACTCCCAAACCCCTGGGTCATGTACCCCTGGGGGTCCCTGTGGCAAAGGCTTGAGCTTCAGTGCCAGCACTGGGAGCAGCACACACGTCCCCAGCAGCAGTGACCATGCGCAGCCACTTCTCACCTTCCCTGTGCTTGCTCCATCGTCCACAAGCACAGCCTCGAATTCCTGAGCCCCTCCCTTAAAGCAGACACAGGTACCAGAAACAGAACTGCTCGGTCAGCACTGGTGGGTGAGATATTTCAGGCCAAGAAAGAAAAAATTGAACCTATGCAACAATGGAGCTGAAAACCAGAAATGGAGGGCTCAGAGAAGGCAGAGCTTGGCCAAAAGGCAGCTCGGTGCTTTCCGTTTATTGACCTACAATTTATTGATACTGGGCTGAAAACAGCCTACATCAACTAAGATATAAGTCTTTTCATATGGAGATTGATTTAGTTCCACAATAAATTTGAACAAAATGCTTCCTCTCTCTCCAGCCCTCATCTCCCCAGCTGCCAGGGAGAGGTAATTGAATTTCAGATCTACATAGTGGACATTCAGCAGAGGCTTTAGCAGAGAGAGGAAATCATTTCTGGATACAATTTTAAATGATGTGGTGTGATTTTGGGCTTAATGAGTGGAGAGGCCAATGTACATTAAGCAGAAAAAAGAAATTCTCGATTATCATTAACTTCAATGGAACAATATAGAACTGAAAAATCTATATGCAGAAGTTATTTCTGGGGGTTAAGCTGCCTGGTGCCCTTGGGCTGCCTGCAGCACCCAGCCCTGACCACTCACTCAGATCTGCACTTTCGGGCAGGAAGCATTTTTCCACGTATAATTTTACCCAAAGGTCTCCCGCTGTTTTGGCGGTGCTTCCTTTCAATTGTTATTTAAATGTATTACCCACCTTTGCATCATCTCTTTCCTTAATGAAGGAGATGCATCTGCTTCCCTCTCAAACGCTCAAAGTCAATTTTTCCTGCTGCACTTTCCAAATATGTAATTTCAGCAGCTGTGGCAGGGCTCCAGCCTAAAACCAAAATCAAACAGAAATTAAGAAGTGTCCCCAGGGACTACTGAGACAGCAGGGCTGTGACTAGACATGGGCAGAGCAGGGTAAGCCAGGTTCTCCCCTGTGCAGGCTCTCAGAAGGAGCCCAGAGCCTCCCAGCAGCTCCCCGAGCTTCCAAAGCCCCCGCAGCATCCCCACTGGGTCTCACAGTTCCTGCCCCATAGAAATGCGGGGCCTGAGCCCCCACCTGCCCACAGAGCCACCAGCTGGGAGCTCACCCACAGGACAGCCCCCTAAAAAATAAAGTCAAATTTAACAGTGAGCTGGAAGTTTGATCGGAAAAGCAGCGGCTGAGCTGTACTGCAATGGCACGCAGTAAACAAAAATCATGAGACCAAAAACCCCTGCCAAAAGCTGAGATGTCAAAGATGTTAATTTAATTGGGAGAGGGAAAAAGCACTAGGCTGCCCTGCTCCCTGCAAGCTCTCATGGTAGTTAGCAGGTAGCGACACCAGCTGAAGGACAGCTGGAGAGGATTAGTTTTAGCATCACAGTTGCATGTCCTGTTAGAGCCCGAAACCTCAGAACCTAACGTGGCATCAGTTGAGTCTTCCTCCAGCTGGGAGGAGAGGCTCCAGTGACGCTGCCTTCCCACAGTGTCACTGCAGTGCTGCAGGTAACAGGGGCCTCAGCCTGCTTCCACACCCTGCTTGGTTTCTTTTCCCCTCTCTTTCTTTTTCCCTATTTTTCTTTTGTATTTACAAAGAACAGGAAAATACAAATTTGTTGCCCTGAATCTGTGACACCAATACCAGTGCCTCACTGCTTGTAGCACAAACCTGGAACACGTCTTCTGATTGAGTGCTCCACGTGGTTAGTTACAGCAATTGCCCTGCTCTGGGCAGAGGCCAAATAACTGGCTGTTGTTTGAAAAATAAAGATACAGATGATTTGGGTTGGAAGGGAGCTCAGAGCCCACCTGGCTCCAGCCCCTGCCATGGGCAGGGCCCCCTGCCCCCAGCCCCGGCTGCCCCCAGCCCCATCCAGCCTGGCCTTGGGCACTGCCAGGGATGGGGCACCCCCAGCTCCTGGGGCAGCCTGGGCAGGGCCTCGCCACCCCCAGAGGGAATTGCTTCCTTATCCCTATTCCTGAAACCTACTGTCTTATTTTAAAGCCATTGCTTTTCATCCTGTATTCTTCTCTGAAATCTTTTCTATCTGTAGAGAAAGAGAACATGATTTTAAAACCCTGTTCTGCTCTATAAATATTCTGTAAAAGGTTTTGTTAATCTTTCCCACAGAATTAATCACCCTGAGGCTCTGCTGTCACAGCCTGAAGCCACAGGTACCTGTCTGTCCTTGCACACGGGGACCCTGGCCTCTGCTGGGAAGACCTTTCATTTCCTGAGCCCATTTCTTTCCCAAGGTTAAGACATCGTGCCTTACCAAGGGCTCTCAAAGACAACAAGAAGAGAGAAGCAACAAACACGAAAAAGGCAATTTTACTCTCTACAGGGTAGAGACAAGTAGCATTTAGCTCCTCAGTGCCCTCGTTTCAACCGGATGAGGAGAACCCGCAGACAGTGCAGGAAGCAGCTGGAGAAGAGCTTGCTGGAGAAAGTGCCCTAAAAGCACGCGGACAGAGTGCGAGCAAGAGGCAGCCCTGGGGACAAACTGTTCTGTGCTCAGAGAGGCAGGAGAGGGGCATGGGGAGCATCAGGAGGGATGCCAGGTATGACATGTACCGGTGAGGACCATAAGCACTGCAGCGAGGCACTGCTGCCGATCCCAATGTGTATGTACACATCTTAAGGAACACATACATGGGGACATCACAGTGTACGAACCCAAACAGCAAGGGCTAACATGAAAAGCTTGACTGAACTGAATGTTTCGGCCACCTACCCGTAGAGCAGCTTGTTTAGGCTCAACTCTGCTGAGCTCCCGGTCTATTTTATACTCCATTTTTCTACATCACAAAATTCCTCCTGTGGGAATCTCATGTGGGAATACACCAAGGTGTATGATGTACACACACAGACGTTGGCTATTCCCAGCACTGGCTCCAGAGTCAATAAAATATCTACATTGCAAAATGGAAGATGTAGTCTTCCTCCTTAAAAGGGGGAGCAACAGGAAGAAAAAAAGTCCAGGTTGCAGCTGTGCATTCATTGACCACAGGACACTCCCGGAGCAGCAGCAGGCAGGTTCTCAGCACATCTTTGTGGCCAGCCAGGCAGGACAGCCTTGGCCACCACCAGCTGACAAATTATCAAACAGCCCCCAGTGTACTCCCAGCAGCTTATTCCTTATTCCCCAGCAGGGACCTCACCCCACCAGTGCAGGCAGAGCAGGGAGCGATGCTGCCCTGTGCCCCAGCACTGGAGCTGGTTTGAGTGGTGCTGCTGGGGGCAGGAGGGCAGTGCCCGGTGTGTCTTCATGGCACAGGGCTAAATCTGCCCAAAAAAGAGAGATGTAAACAGCTAAATCAAAAACACATGCACTTGAAAACAATTAGGCTGGAGTGATGATAACAAGGGTGCTTTTAATATTATTTTTCTTCAAAAAAAAAAATGTGTTATATATATCATCACCCTTTCTTCTTCCCCACCAGACTTCTCAGTTCTAACCGATACTTCATTTTTTTAATAATGACTTAATACTCTAGCTCTAGTGCCTTTTTTTTCCCTAGTCATGTAAGCCTCTCAGCTTAGTTTTTTTAATTAAAAAAATATGATTGCAAATATCTGAGCTCAAATAGGTTAGCGACTGCAGTGACTCTCTGCAGAAATGGTGTTACCTTTCAGCAACACAGGGAATTTTTCATACCACTTTGGCTGTGATTTGAAACATTTAACCTCCTGCCACGTATTCCCCTCCCTTTTTATTAATAGAAAAGAACTCTGGGTAAAACTTTCAGAATACCTGAAAGAAATCGGTGCAGCTGGCAGGTCTCAGCTGCACAACACAGCCCCAGTGCTCCCTTGGCCCAGGTGAAGCTCGCTCACGTGCACACACAGGTGCCACTGCACCTCTGCACTGCAGCTTGTCCGAACACATTTCTCACTAAAACACCACGAGCATTTTAGTGAAGAGCACATCAAACATAAGCTAATATGAGGAAACGTGATATCATTGCGCAGGGAGGGTGAACGTGCTCCTGGACTGCAGGCAGAGTGCTCGGCCCCTCGCTGCCTTCAGGACTTTGTAATAGCTAAAAATAAAACAATCTTCTCGGTTGTGGGTCTGCTTTGCTAGACCACTCTTATAAGTGCATCCAGCAATCAAACCATCTCACACCAGGACTGTTCTTCACCTCGGCCGTTCCCTCCCCTACTCCAGACACCGGGGGAAGCACCAGGGCAGCGTGTGGTGCTTGGCACCTGACCAAGCCCAAGCAGGGCTGGGCACTCACAGACCAGGGCTGGAGACCACTGACCTTACTGAAATCCCCTCATTTGGCACACTGACCACCGCCTCTGTCCTGCACTGCATTCGGTAGCATTCTGGGGGGAGAAGTAAGGAGGCAAAAAGGAAAGACCCAGCCTCCTTCCTTCTGCCCCCACAAAGCAGAAACCCGATGGTAAGTCTGTCAGGTCACACCTGGGTTCAAGAAATATAGATTGAAGGCCTCGTTTAACACCAAGGACCTTTAACGTTAATGACCATTTCTCCAGCCCACCTAAATGCCCTGTGGCTGTTCTACTGTCTCCTTCATGAGAGATTATTACAGCTATTTGTTTCAAATGCTGTGAACAAAAAGCACTGAAGTCTAGAAAAGTTCAGAGACAGCACATCAAGCTTAAATCAGAGGCAGCTACAAACATTTTCTGGTGCTGTGCTTTGGATGCACTGTAAATCTTCAGCAGCAGGCAGCGTGTTCTTGTGCCATCTGCTGCAGGGTCACTCCTCTACTTGCTGTCTAAAATAAGATTTCAGCTCCCTGGAACGACTTTTTTAAAAGAGAAAGAATACCCTAAAGGTCTTCTGTGGAAATTCATGTACCAGCACTTCCTCAACAGTGTAGCTTCATCCAGGACCTTTGTTATAAAACATTTGCTATTAAAGAAAGTAATACTTAAAACCAAACACTTATTACTGTGAAGTTTGAAATATTCCTGTTAGAGGAATATAATATTAAGGCTATAAAGTACTTTTGGAATTTTATAACAGCTATTATCTACATAGACTTGAGGTCAGCAGTGACCACACAGCATATGGGTAATGTCATGATACAAGTTATTCCATCTAGTCTTTGGCAGTAATAAAAAACAAAATGCATAAAATTGGCAATTTATTTCCTCATTTCCATTACAGCTAAAGTCTCTTTGAAGACAGCTGGAATTACATTACGTAGCAAGCTGAAAGGACATGAATTTTGTATGCCTAAAAATGAGGCTGAAGGAAGCGTTTCCAGATACAAGTCCCCCAACCTGGAAAGTAAAGATGCTCTAGTGGCCCTCAGCTCCTCCGTGGGTGGCTTTTTGTACAACCCGGGGTGCAGAAGCAGCCCGTTGTGACCAAAGTGTCTCTCCTTTCCATTATCAGGTACTTGTTCTTTACTCACTGAGATAAGGAACCTAAAGCCAGTTATCTCTATCCAAACTGCACCAGCAATCAGGGCAGCACAGGGAGGAACTGGGAGAAGGAAACCCAGAATCAAACCCAGAACCCCACAGGGATGTCTCCTGGCAGATGTCCCCTGCCACCTGCAGCTCTGTCAAATTGCAAAGGGCCTACTTCTCCCTTTCAACCCTCCTCATTTGGGTTAAAAGCAGCAAGAAGGAAACGCCTGGCACGAGACACGGCAGAGCTGAGCCGCAGCATGCAGAGCAGAGGAGAACCGTCACGGGCAGGAGACACGGGGAGCCAGGTAAGTTACACGCTGCAAGCTGAGCAGTGACACTATGTGAGCTATATCAGCAATTACTTCCATCAGCCTATATGACAAAAGCTCCCTGCAGCAGCTCGGTGAGCACACTCCAGGAGGCAGACACCACGCTCCCCACACACTGAGGGGTTTTGCATGATTTCTGGTCCCCCCCTCCAGCAGGAGAGGAAGGGGTCTGTGCTGGGGAGGGGCAGATCCACGCTCCTGCAGCTGATGCTAGACAAGCTCTCCAGTTCAGGCAGCCAAAGCCTCTCCTGCCTGACAAACTCTTCCTCCACAACAACCTCTGTAGTCACAGCACAGGGCTGGAAATGGCTTTTACCTTAAACAGCTCAGCATCCTGACCAGCAGCCGCATCCAGCATTCCCTTGGCAGGGCAGAGAAAAGCAGCCATAATCCCCACCTGAAAGCCACTTTAAAAGGCTTTGAACACATCATTTCTGCTCCCTGAACTCTGGAAAGAGCTGCTGAACCCATATAAATCCTGAACATGGCTGGTGGGCTCTGTGATGTATATTCAGAGCCCTTGGAAACAGCAGCAGCAGCCTCCTCCCACCAGCCCTGGCTGCTCACGTCTCCCAGAGGGGCTGCTGAAAAGCTGGAGCCTCTGGCCTCCACCTGGAGGCTGGAGAGTTCTGCATCGTGGCCTTGTAGGAACATCCATAATTAAACACTCATTTGAGTATTCGGTCTCCTGGGAAGAGCCAGCAGTAGAAGCAGCAGTCAGAAGGCACTGAGATGCCAGCTACACCACCAAGCTCACCCGCAGTTTTAAAGCGCTTCTCGCTCCAGTGCCATCGCCCAGCCAGTGCACTGGCCTCATCACACGTGAGTCAGCAGAAGCCCTCTGAAGAGCAGTCCGAGTGCCAGAGTTCACTGCACAGCTCTGAAACCTGACAGCTACTTTCCCAACTGACTTCACAGCTCAAAGAGGTCAAGTGCCACCAGGAAACTCAGTGGGCTGCAGCGAACTGCACCCACGCCAGCTCCGGTACTCCTTTAGTCACACCAAGAGTACTTTTATTTCCAGCCAAGTATTTCTAAAGTGTGGTGAGTAAAAAATGCTGTAAATAATATAGCATAGTTAATTATTAATAGTTCTGAAAGAGGTCTATCTATAGTCCCAGAAGTCAGCTCATTTCCCTGAATGCTGGATGATGGACTGCCAAAGCCGAACATTTGGGGATTTGCAGCACTTTGCAATGCCCTTTTGCCCATCTCCATTTCTGTGCAGAGGCACCTGACCCCACAGGACCACCGACACTGGGCACAGATTTATCCCAGCTCCACACTCACACTTTCCAGGAGAACAGCATTGGCCACCTGGCCACGTCCTTGTGTGAGCACCAGCTCCACGGGGAAGCAAGACAGTGCCGTGCCAAGTGCATTACATAAAGAAAGTGCCAATTAAAACACCAGCGATGCTGGATGCTCAGGAGGGAAAAGCTTTTCACCTCCATGCACACAGGCGTATTTTTTCCCAGGCATTTTCTGAGTCTTGAAGTTCAGAAGAACCCCCGCAGCTCTCGGTGCTGCGTGCTGTCAGTGCTCATGTCGCAGTTTTCCCCTGCCCCAGGGCCCAGAGACGAGTGAGAGCGCGGATGAGCTAGTCACCAGCCCAGCCCTGCTATCAGAAGTCTTCTTTAAAGGCTGCTCCCTCACCAGGGAGCCTCACCCCTTCCGGGCTTGCAGCTCCAATTTGCATCAAGGCACAGGTAATAGGAAAATTATCCCAGCTGTCAGCCTGCTGGAAACACCCACTGGCAGAGTCAGGAAAAGCTGCGTTCTGTCCTACTTCTGGACCTAAAAAGCAGCAGATGAAAAACAAGAGCGAGAAAACCACGTGTGCCTGTCCCAGCTGCAGGAAGCACGCCAGGAGCATCGTGGCAGTGCCTGGGCAGCTCAGCCGCTGCTCTGCAACAACACCTGGGGACACCAGTGCCAGCACAGCACAGCCCGCAGTCCCTTTATTTTAAAGCTATTGGGAAAACAGGTCCTAATGAAATCCTTGCAACAAAAGCAGCTGCCACGGCTATTTGCAGCCCCAGGCAAAACCCTCACCACCAGGAGCAGGCTGAGCACCATGGCAAGGAGCAGTGCCCCCTCCAAGTAGAGGGGTTTGGTTGTGTCAAGCCCTGGAGGTCTCTTACACCTAGAAGACAGGTTTCAAGAGATTGGAGCAGTAAGAATTGTACCAGCACAGAAATCCAGCTGGGTGTTGTGCATATGCAAACCAGCACTGTACCCCCAAAGCCCAACCCCAGGCTCCTTGCCTTGTCTCTCACCAAAGTGTTTTTCTCCCCATCAGCAATGCTCCCGGGAGCATCAGCAGTGAAGCCAATGGGGCACAGGGACCAGAAGGAGACTTATATCACCCAAGGGATCACAGCTGCCATCAAGTTATTTATGGCACTGCAGAAAGATGGCTTTTATCATAAAAGTTTAATTGGGCTATGCAGAAAGATGCCAAAATACAAGTATGCTTTTGCAGCAAAGAGTTCATGAGAGCTGACAGAAATTTCCCAAAAAGACCAAATGCTTTTTTCTTCAACATCTTTCATTACCATGTACAAGAGCATTCAGGCTATCAGTTGGACGAACAACAAACCAAAAAACAAGAGCTTCTTAGTGAAACACACCTCAGGCAGAACAGGGTCAGGAACCAGGGGCTTGTAGTGACCACAGCACAAGCAGGGCTCTCACCAACCTGCACACCCAGCAGCACCACGAGGGCTGGCAGCCCTAGGGCATCAGCAGCCAAGGAGAGGCAAGAGAACAGGTCTGGAGCCCAGGGCAGCAAAAAGACAAGGCCATACAGCTCTGAGCTCCATCAGAGTGCAGGCACCCTACAGCAGGTCTCCAAACAGGTGTGGGGCCCAGGCTGCAGCTTAAATGGAGCCCATGGGCGAGGGGGTGGGACCCCAGGTGGGGCTGATGGTGGGGCCCAGGTGGGGCAGCCCAGGATGATTGGAAGCCAGGAGCACCACACACACTGAGCTGCCCCATGCTGGGGGTTTGGGGTTGCTGTTGCTGCCGTCAGCCCCATACGCTGTGCACCAAGGCAAGCAGAAAGCTAGTGTGGGGCCTCGGGGAGCAGGTGCTGCTTTTACCCTCCACACTTTTTTTGGGGTCTTCCTAGATCAAGCCCTCGACTCTATCAGATGCCCTTGCCAGGGGCTCCCAGCCCTCAGGGCTGTCCCTCAGCCCCAAGGACATCGCTGCTGCCCGTCCCAGGCTCTCAGGGGACACTGTGTGTGTTGCACGCAGCATCCCCAGCCTCCGCGCAGCTATAGCTGGAGACCTTTACAATTCCCTCCAATATCAGAACATGCCATCACCTCCCTTGCTTTTTTATGAAAATGAAAAAAGAAGTCAGCAGCTGTTTAATTCTCCCGAGTTAGGTTACCAAGCAAACATCTCCCTTGATCTGTACCAAGCTGGCACTGCAGCCTCCCCCAGCACCCTTTATTTCCAGCCGTGAACAGTAACTGTGCGGGATTCAATCCCATCGTGGTAAAAGTCAGAATAAAGAACTTCCCCGTGGTACTTAAAGGCACCTTTTGGTGCCTGTATCACAGACTTGCTGCCATCAGCTGCCCTCAGCCTGTTGCTTTTTAGAGCCTTTTCAGGCCCTCACAGGGGTATGTGCTCGAGCAGGGGATCGTGTCCCCCATGGCAGGGAACCGTCTGCCGAGCTGCTGAGCCCAAAGCTCCGTGCAGTCGGGGTGGGCTGGAGAGGATAGGTGCAGAAAGGCACCCGGGGGTGGCTGCCTGGCGGACGGCGAGCCTGCAGGCCCTGCGGCCTGGTGGCTCTGGCGGTTCACTCGCTGCTGTTTGCTCTGTTAGGAACTCTACACCCTCATGCCCAGCTGGTCCCTGCCAGCACCATCTCCCTGCCTCGCTGCTGTGACTGCAGGGAATCCGAAGCTGCGTGCCCAGAGGTGTGCGATGGGGCTCAGGCCCCCCTCATACCGCCCGCCTGCCACTGGCCCACACAGGGCCACAGCACAGCAGTCCCACCTGGAAGCCCCCAGCAGATGTTGATGCATGTGCAGGCCAGCCTCTGTCTCTGGTCCTTTTGTCACAAATTATCTGCCTTGTGCAGGCAAAAAGAAAAAAAACAACTCATACAAACGCTTAAATTCCTTAAACTGCAACCCCATTGTACAATCAGATTGGTATTTCTGAGTCTGTATATCCACCTAAAGGCTAACCCATTTTCAGGATTAAAGAGGAAAACAAAAATAACTCAGTAGCTTCCAGCTAAAATAAAAATGTGCTATTCACTTCATTAATCAAAATCTAGGTCACTTGCCAAATACACACACTCTTAAGGAAAACGAATTAGATTTTTCTCTTAACAAAAGCCACTATTTGAGAAGCACATATTTATGCTTGAACACCGGCCTGCAAAGGTTTCGGTGCCATCACCCAGCTCGCTGCGTGCCTGCAGAGCGACTTCCAGCAGCGTGCGGGGCTTCAGGAGGTTTCTGAGAATCCCCCAGGTGTTTTCCCAACAACACGGCAAGATCTGCAAGGCTGGAGAGCACCGGGGGAAGCGATGTGGCAAGGTGGGCTGCTGCTAGCGCCCCTCCGGCCTGCGTGTCAGCACAGCACAAAAGGCAAAGAAAAGCCCAGCACAGGCTCTCTGCTTCCATCCAACAGAGTTTTCCCCTGACTTCTTCAGAGAATTTGAAAGATCAGGCTAAAAATCCTAATTAAATTCGCATTTTTCAATATGCAAGCGTGCTGCCAGAAATTGCTCAGCTAGGTCCTTCCGCAGGAGCACGGAGAGGCTTTTGAAGTTTTCAGGACTTCTCTTCCTATTTGAATTCTTAAAAGGCACTTTCTGTTCTTCATTCTTTCAGATCTAGACTCCAGACACTCAGGTTTTGCAACTTGTAAAAGTTTTTCCGGCATAGCTGACTCAGTCTTTAAAAAATAGCTATAATTCAAAAGTTTTTGTTTTTCCCTCAGCCCTTGTTTTTCTTAGCTGTCTCCTGGGCTGGCTATACTTTTTATGCAAATGTTATGTGATTATGCAAAAAGATCTAATTAGATTGATTGATATTGTCATATCAACAAAACCCAGACCTACTTTCAAATCCCCACAAAGAATGTGTACCAGGCAGGATTATCGTTTCAGGCGTTTTCTTTGGGGACCCTGTTTTGCATTTGTTATTGTTCCAGAACCTGTGTGCTCCGCACATCGCCCTTGCTGGAGATCGTATTTCTTTAATCAGAGTTTTCACCTGTGATTGTTAATAAACTTGAATTTTTCCAGCCGGCTTTGCCACTGCCATGGTGAGGGTGGCGTTGCTGTGCCTGCACAGAGCAGCTCCGGCCATGCCAGGCCCAGCGCCGCAGCTGAGCGCACCCCAATCTTCACTAAAAATATGAATCCTGGGGGTGCCATGGTGGGATCCACCCCAGCTCCTGGACTGCCTGGTGGCTCTGCCTGCAGCCAGCAGCACCATGAGGATGCCAGGCTTGTGGCTGCTGGCACAGCACCTTGAAAGTGAGGTTGTGCAGGGTGGGGGGAGGCACCGGGTGCCTTTTGGCAGGCCCCGTGCACAGAGATCTGCCCCACGGCCACAGCACCCGCAGGGGACCCGCTGCCATCTTCAGCAGGCAGCACCGACGGGTCGAGCTCAGCCTGTGTCAGGGGATATGGGACGTGGGCATCTTTATTTCTAGGGCCGGCAGTGCCACCCGTGGTGACAGACGTTGCCTCTTCCCAACCCACAACAGAAGCCAAAGGGGTGCAAATCCTGCCATAACCTCTCAGACCGGGCTGGAACCCATGGGTAGAAGGTGATGAAGTCAGCAATTACTGTTCATAGATTTCCTTGCTAATTCACACAAGTGGAAAGATAACTGAGACACTGAGCGAGTGCAGTGCTTGGTAATTACCTCGCAAGGAGAGGCACACAGTAGCTGCAGAAAAGCTTCTTAACCAAACACCAAGCACGTGTTGTGAGCCTGCTCGCAGGAGGGTACCTGCAGCTGCAATAAAGCCACCAGAAATCAACAGATTTCTGTTCACCAGATTCTGCTTCCATACTTAAATATATGAAAAATAAGTGCAGAGGTGAATTTTTGTGTTGGACGAGGAAAAGAAAAACCCTGACTAGACCATGCAGAGTAAGTCCTTCCAGCTGTGCTTTACTCAGCTGCGTAAGGCTGAGGGAGATTTGGCAGCCACATCACTCACTCCTGAGAGCCTCTGCAAAGAGCAGGAATTTGCCCCATTTCAGAGCTGTGTCTAGCATGAAACTCCAGCACCAGATTCAGTGCCCGATGCCCTCCGGATCCTCAGGACAGATGAGGGACGAGGACTGGCCGGTATAACAAATGACCACATGAGGGTAGGAGAGAAAGCTCTAATTTGTGGTGAGGATAAGAGACACGGAGGCTTGTGGAGATAAGGAGAATAAATGCTACCCAGTTTGGAAAGCTGCTAGTCACCCACCTGAGGAAACACGGAGAATAAAGATCAATATTCTATGTAAGACAAACATCAAGCCATTAGGCGAGCTGATGTTTCCCAGCACGAAGCACGAGGAAAAGCTCCCAGCAGAGGAGCTGGTAAGTGCCCGGGCTGGGGGCTGCCCCGCACCGACAGAGCTCTGTGCCTGGAGGGCACAGGGGGGATGTTGGGCTCGGGGGGCTCCCCAGGCACGGGGCTGACATGCCTCCCCAGCCCCAGCCTCTGCCTATTTTGTGGTCTACCAGTATGTCCATTTTATCCCCCCAGTTGATGGATTTCTAGTTTAAGTCTGGGTTTCTTATTACTTCTTAAGATGCCTAGTACGTTTTGTCCCATTTCTGCTATTCCAGTGCTGAAGATCATCCATCTCTTCCTCTCTTACAAGAGCTGTACTGATGCTTCCCAGTTCAGCATTACCGACACATTCCCTTGGCGTATTTCTGGGTTTTGTTCTGACATTGCTAATGAAAATATTAAATAAAATTGGTCCCTACTCTTGTCTTTCAGAAAATCCACTGGCAACTCCCTCCAGCCTACAACTCCCACTAACACTATGTTTTTCATCTCTCCTTTAGGCAATTATTCATCTCCTTGGTCATATTATGGCTTTTCATTATTATCCATCTTCTCCAATTTAAGTCATAATATCCCATCTGGTACAGTAGCAACTGTTTTATTGCCTTAGTCCCTATGTTTAACATAAATCATCCTTATTGAAAACGAAGATAATATATATACTTTGTTTGGGGCAATGTGCGAATTACCTTTAAATTCTGTCCACCCTCCACACACAGAATCTCCACTTCTTCCTTTATTCCTTTTTATGTTAATGACTTTTTTATTTATATCAGCACTTAGTGTTTTCTATCCCTTGTGAGATGCGGCTGAGCCTGTCTCAAGGAACTTGTCATTTCTCTCCGAGTTTCCTGACCTCAGAACCGCTGGGTTTGATCACTGGCTCTTCCCTTCATTCACTGAAGATGCTGCTTATCCCTAATCCCTTTCTTGGGTAGATTTGCATTTGTTACCTTGGGACCCAATTTCACATAATTTTGGCACTGTGGACTCAAACCTTTGTTTTTTATCCGCATTCAGATGAGTTCTTCAAGCCACCTAACTTTACTAGCAAACCCACTGAATTCTTCAGTTTGTCCCTTTGAAATTCAAAGCTCAGTCTCTCCATTAACAACATAGCTCCAGCTGACCTTTTAATTCGTTCAAATATGCAGTAATTTAAAGTGAAGTGACTTACAAGTGTTCTGTTCATGGTGGTGTTTTTTTTTCAAAGACACCAATTTTTATAATGCTCTTCTCCTTGCTTACCCAAACACTCAAAATATCATTATCTCCCATTGATCAGCT